AGAATACCAAATTCTTCCACTATTAGAATGTGTTAGATTCCGAGCTATCATGCAATGATCATTTTGTAATGACTAGGCACTAAAGTCACAGAGACTTTGCCAATTACAAAACATTCCATTGGAGATCCGAAGTCTCATATTCAAAGTACATTCCTTTGAACATCCTTCTTGCATAAAAAGTTTCAGTCATATCTTGTTCTAGTTCTTTTTTCCCTCTTAATGCCCTCGGCATTTGGAAATTAGAACAATCGAATATTATAGCATATGTAATTGATCCTATATCCGAAGCACATGGGATAAGATTCATAATCTCTTACATAAAGACATGATACTAGACCAGTCTTTTGCTATAACATTTCTATATATATATATATATATATATATATATATATATATATATATATATATATATTAATATATATATATATATTTAGAATTTCTGATGTTGAAACATTTCAACATTACATTCATATATATCCATGACTAAGTCCCATTAATAATTTCAATCTAATCTTTTAGATTCGAAATGAAGTATGAGCTCCTCTCCCTTAAAATTTTCTACAACGAAACAACTTTTCAAACTCTGCAACTTTGCAAATTAAAACTTTGTTTCCTATTAATAGTATTGCTAAATCGCAACACTTAACGTAATAATTGTGCTCCCACTAGCATAATAATTACATACTTATAGGCATAGCACTTATGCTCCCACTAGCTTTGACATGTAGCTGGACTTCTAGAAATCAATACTCATTGACTTTCTTACCAAAGTTCAGATTTCTGATACAAGATGCTTCGATAAGACTTTATCTAGGCGTCTCAAACTCATACACATTTCCTTGGATAGCTCATATGTGTGTCTAAACTATTTCAGAACTTACAGCAGTAAGTCTCGAATGTTCAGACTATTTGCCATTTTCTCACAATTCGAACTATGAAGAGGGATGTCGTAATCATAATCGAATTTGAGAACGCAATTAACACAACTGCTATCTCCTTAAAATCTATCAGTGAAAGCATTTCCTCACAATCATTTTCATGAAGGAGAGAAACCTTTTGCCACTTAGATTTTATAGTGTATGTGTTCCTATTCATGTGAATTTGTCACAACCATAATCACAAGACAAGGTTTGTGACAAATCCAAACTCATATGGACTGAACTTGTTCAACCTTAATTTCTTGCCATCTAGTAGCACAAGGGCCTACCATTGCTTCCAAGTTGCTGTGCAGCTCACCCCTATCGATCAATGTAAATTTCATTGACCAAGGTGCTTTGCCTTATGCAATCAAATGAGAACTCATAGAACTCATATGCATAGTTTACTTAATTGGAATGGGCACAGAAACAAGAATATGTCAACACGATAGGTTGCAAACCTCAAGTCGTGTGCTAGTGATAAACAATAGGTTTACTCTTGATTAGTTCTTGAACCTTTTCAAGATCTTTAAGACTCCCATTGACCTATTGACATATGAGATTCTTTTGTCAAGAAACATTCTTTGACAAACAAATATTCAAGAGTTAGTGTGGGTTCTTATCAAGACAAACATTACACATAATTGGTCTTAGTTGATCTTTGTCTTATCCAAGACATCACAACTTACCAATTTCAAATGTACATGAGTAAGAAAACTTTTCTACTCTACATTTCATGACGTGTTTATAAACATACTTAGGATATGTCACTCAAGATACAATCTCTGAGTATGACTCTAAGACTTGATTTTGAAATGAAGTATGACTCATCCTCTTGATTTAACCATTTCAACAATTCCTGATTCCTCTTCTTAGCCATACAAATGTACTAAGGTCTCCTTAGAGTATCAATTGTGATATGGTTTCATAATCACTAAGATGATCATAAAACACGATACTGAAGTACTCTCCTTTGCTTTCAGATTGGAGAAGCTTTTATCTTTCTGCCTAATTGATTCTTCTTATTCGTTCTTTATACTTTGAAACTTTTCAATGTATTAGAATTATACTTAATCTTGTAAGTATAACAATATTTACTGAACCATAAGTAAATCATGACTAATAGACTTTATCGGCCTTTGTGGTGGATCTTGACTAGTCCACATCAATGTGTACTAGATCCTTTAGTACTTCACTCGACTCACATACATATGCGAACAAGGAATTAGTCCAATTTTCCTAAGTACCAAGATTTTCATACATCATATAACTCAAATCATACGATTCCAAGTTTCTATCCAATTGAAACTTGGGTGATGAGAATCTTTCCTTACTTAGAAAATTACGACACTACCACAATCAATATAACTAAGAATCAAACATTTTCAACATTGCTATAAATGGAAACATATAAACAACAATTTTCACAAATGTCATTGCAAGGAAATATAAAATAAGACAAAATCAAAAATTTCTTTTATTTATAAAATGCGGAAAACTTGTCCTTACAATGCAAATACAAATGAAAACTATGTTACTAATTATTCCTAACCAATCTATCATAACTCCTAAGCAGTAGCTCAAAAGTCTGATCATCGAACCATGCGATCGAAATCCATCTCTTCGCGACAAGACTCAACTTACTCTTCCTTTAAGCTTCCTTTCTCTTCTTTGATCCTACAAAACATCAAAATGCAATATTATCACATCATGTATTAAGAATATATAAATAAGAACTTAATAGAGTTAGATAGTGGACTTACCTGAAGTAGAACCATACAATTTGATTTTACCATCTCTTAGATCTCTCAGGTAGTCAGGGAAGCTTCGCTTCCAATGTCCGTTCAAATGGCAGTAGAAACAAGTGGACTCTTTGGCATTTGTACATGGAGCTATCTCAGAACTGGCTTTTCTCTTATGGTCAAATCTTTTGACCATGGCCAATTTCTCTCCCTTAGGAGAAGAAATATTTTCTGGATCATCATTGCCATTGCCTATGTCTATGAAAATTTTGGCGGTAGATCTTCCAATCAAATTTGCTTTACCATTGCGCCAAATCATTTCTGATTCAACAACACTCAGCAAATATGTCAGATCAATGAGGGTCATGTCGTGATCTGTCACACAGTAGTCATTAACAAAATGACTATATGACTCGAGAAGTGACTGAAGAACCAAGTCAACAACTAGCTTCCTTGGGAAAACGATACCCAACATTCCCAGCCTGTCAATATGCAACTTCATCTTCAAGACGTGAGCACATACAGAATTTCCATCTTCGTGTTTGCTTGCCAACAGGGCTTGAGTGACCTTGAACTTTTCAAGTCGACGAACACGTGGGCCAGGGAGAATAATTAAAGGAGGTGGAGGAAGAGAAGTTCCACGAAGGCACGAAAAAGGGATTGATCTTTCACCTCGATCGTCACGTGGAATATCATCTTCATGAGGAAAGCCTTTCCTAAATGGATAAGAAAGACCACAGTTGTCAAAACTAGACATCTACAAGGGAGAAATTCAAGTAAGTTGATTAAGTCCTTAATATAATACCCAAATTAAATATTAAGGCTAGGACCCGACACAATAATTCACAATTCGGAAGAGGGATGCCGTAATCCAATTGTAAATTGTCGGTAGGTAAATGACGATTTACCAATTCCACCACGAAAACGAAATTTTAAACGAATTAGGTTTTAAATGAAACTCCTAGATCTTTTGAGATTCATTGAACTTTTCAATGGCGTGTTTAATCTTGATTATGCCCTTCAAGTTTGTGACTGGGATACCGAGGATCACAAATAAGGTGTGAATAACCATGCAAATTAGCTTGGTACTCTCGATATCATTAATCACCTAATCAATGTGCCGGTTAACCACACACGCTCCATTGATCAATGATAATTCACGAGCTACCCATTGCCATCCTTCATTAGTCCCACATTAGTGTGTCGGTTAACCACACACGCTTCACTAACGACCAATAAGGTGCAATGTGCAATTTCATGGTTTAGCACCAAATTCACATTTTTCCTAAAGTAACCAAGATTGAGAATTTATAAAACATTTAGTTACTTTATATTTCATTATACTTTTAATGAAGATTTAAGTGTTCTATCAAACCCGTTCGGCTAACGACCCTCCACTGGTCAAGGGTGTCGTGGGTAAGAGTGGATACCCAATGGCGCTCATTTTAGATGTCGCTTCCTTAAACACCCCTTACAGACCAGCTTCGTGAATGAGGCCTACTAACAGTAAGACTGACCTTTTAATTATACATATATAATATATTAGACTTTTAAGTTTATATAGTATAAGGGTGTATTTTACACTTTTAAAATACTAGGTGGTTTAATCTATTAATAAATTAGACTTTTAATTTAATTAAATATAAACTGTATTGTCATTATGGATTTATTAATTCTTTCTTTTAATTGTACCCTTAATTAATTTAATAAAATCCATAAGGGTGTAATTTGAACTATTCAAAATATCAAGGTTCTAAATTTAAGACTTCAAAATTAAAACTATTTAATCAAATATTAAATTTCAAAACCATGAGGTGCATTGTTGAGACTTTTCAACTTACTAGGGTTTAAGAATTTAACATTCCATAAATGAGACTTTTCAAATTCCAAAACTTGAGGGCAAGTTTTGAAACTTTTCAAAACCTCTTAGATCAATTTGAAAACAATTAAATTTAATCATATAACTAGTGAAGAATCCCGCTTTGCGGGGCTAGAAAACCAACCATGAAGATATGCATGTTGAGAAACAGAAAGAAAATAATGTAAGTAGAAACATGTTTAACAAATATAAAACTGCATAAGAATCATATTTGCAACATCAAAAACCAAGACATTTGGGAATACTAAGTTTGATATTAGAAGTCACTCTATCTTTTTCCCGAATGGAAAGAACTTACACTATTGTTTGTTGCGTTTGTGCTCATTACCTTTGAATGTATATTATGTGGTTTATATGTGTGCATTACTTTTTAATGCAGCTACACAGGAATAAAAAGTGTGCTAATCAGCCTATCAAGAGTTGCTCACAAAATCAAGCTACACGTTCAAACTCAAATGCTCTTGTTCTACCAGGTACACACACTAATGATTTCCATCATTCTTATCAGCATTAATCTTAATCTTGTTTGCATGTTGATTCTTATTTACTGTAATCTAGACTGCCTTAAATAGCAATTGCAATGACACATGATAGTTTGAAAGTAAGATTGTTGAGCTATTGTCACACTGAATTATGTTGCTTTCACCTTCAACTTGTTGTTTCTTGGAAGCATGAAACACTAAAAGTACAATGCAATTATACCACTCACAATGACCTCAAATTTTACTCTAGAATCAAAACTGTTTATTGAACTCATGTCATCAACTTTGATATTTACACAATCAATGCAAAAACAACAGTTTACCTTTTAGCTTTTTTTATGAAATGAAACTTAAAGTACTTAGACCAAATAACATCATGGATAGAATAGTAAGTATCATCTTTTGACTTATATAAAAAATTATGTAGACACTGAAAGTTCTAAGAAGAGTGGTGCTCAGAGTGATTTAGCCATTACTCCTGTTCAATCAAAGAACCCGTAAGCATTATTTTGATATATTTTCTATTTAACAATGCTTTCAAAAGATATACTTTTTAATTGGTAAACTGAATTAACTGACTATGTAAGTTTTTGTTTGACAGAGGTGATGGCAATTTGAGTGGGAGAAGTACTTCCATCATTTCTGCTCACGTATGGAAAGAATCCCTAGCCAGGTGGCCACGTCCTGTATGGCATGCTCCATGGAAGAAGTACAGAGTAAGCACACTTATTTTTATCCAAATGAATACTACTACCAAGCAATGTAGTTATTCAAAAACCTTTAGAAAATAGAAAGTGTAATTTTATTTTTTCCTTTTGGATTATTTTGCAATGATAGGATAGAAATAATCAGGATAAAATAGTAAAGAAATTGATTAAAATTGATATTGGAAAAGCCAATTAACATATTCAGACAATGCACCTGCCAGTATTTCCACTTCCCAAAGGCATGATAGGCTTAAAATGATGAAGTCTGATTATTTCACCATCTGTAGTGATCTACAAAATAATAAAATTGTAAAAAATGTGCATATTTTGGTAAAAGGAAAAATGTGTAAATTTGTTGCATTGTACAAAAAATTTACCTTTTCTATAGTTTTCCCAAAGGCATGATAGGCTTAATATAAATCAGAGAGTTTTGAGTATGAAGTTTATAAAGACAAAAAAAAAAAAAAAAAAAAAAAAACTAAACTCACCTGTGCATTCCCACAAAAAATAAACTGACCTGTATGGTCATAATCAAGAGTGGTAACGTCACTGTCCACAACTGTTTTACTTATTAATCTTCTCGTGCTAAAATTGAATATCTGAAGTAGTAAAAAAAGGAATTAATTAATTAATTAAAAGAAATAAAGAAACAGTGAAGGATATGAATTAACTACCGAGACTTCTTTCTGTGCATTGCCAACTGAAAGGAAGTTATTATTTACCTGTATTTATTAAGAAAAAAAGAATTACTAATTTTCATTAATAGATGGCTATTTGCCCTTTTTTTCCTAACTCCTCTCACGTGAATACTGTGAAATTTGTATTTTTGAAATGCAAGGGTAAAATGGTCATTTAGTCTCGTTCAGACGTTTTATTCAGTCTACGGTGTGTATACATCACTTTATCCATACCTACATCATTACTCATTCAGGGAAGAAAACAAGAGAAACATCTCCTAAGTTTATTATGTTGGTTAAAAATAAAGGAATAAGAACATAAATATAAGTAAGAGAAAGTTATATTTGAAGTGAACTTACAGGATGAAAACGAATACAAAGCTGAGAAGTAACTCCATATATTACTCGAATCCAAACCCTCATAGATTTATCTAATAAAGATGATGCAATTTACTGGTTGTTCAATGAAAAGCCAAAATCTGGAAAAATGAGAATAAAGATGAAAAAAAAGACATCAACACATGACTAATAGCCCCTTTCAATCAAGAGACATTAAAGGAAAGACTAAAGAGCCAGTACCAGTTGATCAGACCTGTGACATCTTTTGAGTACCCTGTCAATTTGTTCGTGATTGAAGGTGGATGAGAGAAGGTTTCTCATAGGTCAAACTCATTTGTTACTTCAAATTTCACAAAAATGAAGCATATGCATTTTAAGGAAATTAGAAAATTCACAATCAAGATTAGTAAATAGAACCTGTTTCATATCCAACCGAATCGAACGGGAACCCACACAGGGTTAGGGGGTGTGATTTCCCTTCCATCGCCAATGGAAACGACGACCACAGAAATAGTAACACAAAAACCCGAATCTTGAAATAATTCTGGAAAGAAAAGGTTTATTTATATATAAATTGAACATCAACGTGAATGTAATTTCTCATAAGTTCAACAATGGAATATGTAAAACTCACCAGCATATGAAAGTGTACATGTGTTTGAAACTCTGAAACAAATCCATGAATTACTAACTTCTTTAATCACCCACATCTTCTAAGCAAACACGCAGCCCAATCCACAAAATGTTTATTAAGAATCATCCATTGAAGATCTAAAAACTCACATTCTCAAATTCAAATTCACCATGCAAACTACAATGAAGAACACCGTCATTAAAATCATCTCTAAAACCATAAATCAATGAAAGCAAAAATGGTGGTGACTTAACATATATACTGACAAAAAGCAGAGCATACATGCTTTAACATAAACCTCTATCCAAATCAGCAAATGCGAAGAACATCATGAAAGATTATCACAATGCCAAGAAAAGAGGGAAGAAGAAGAAGAAGAACAGAAAACGAAAAACGAAACAGTACCTTATTGAAGGAGAAGAGAAGTTCCGCCATTTTGATTCTTGAAAGTCAAAATTAACGTCAGCTACATCACTAGAACCGAAAGCAAACCCCACATTTGAATTAATCGAATTCAAGAAAAAGGTACTGCTATTCTACAATTATTTATCAAATAATCAAACAAAATTTCTATTATCGTAAGCTTTTACAGCTTGATCCAGGGAACCCATATGAATAAGACCAAAAATAAACTCATTTCTCTTGATTAAATTTAAGAACATGGATTCGAATGTCAGACTCTTTTGTTTTTGACCAAATATGGGTAAATAAATGACATGGCTTTAATTCCAATCACTGTAAGGTTGAACAACATGAAAGAGAGAAAAAAAGTACCTTTCCGAGGAAAAAACGAAGACCATGAAGATGAATGAGTAGATAAGCTTATTCATGGTGTCACTGGTGTTTGACCGATTGAAGGTTGGAACCAAAATTTATAATGGGAACGGTTGAAAGCGACAAGGCTAGAAATAAGATATAACGAAACGGCGTCGCGGAAGAGGTGGAGGACTTACCGGCTTGATAAGACGATAGCTCCGATCGGTGACGAAGAAAAATGGAGAGGCGATGGAGACGAAGAGGGAGAACGGAATGGAACCATCCAGAAAGAAAGAGTGGAAGTACCGTAGGGTGGGTTAATCGAAATCACATATATTTTCTCCAATTTTTTCATTACCAGCGACGGGTGACGATCCTTCGGGGTGATGTTTCCTTGGAGAGATCGGAGAGAAATGGATCGAGGTAGGGCTTTTGTGTGGAAGGAAGAAAGAGATGGAGCTGTAGAAGGAAGAACGTGGAAGGGCATAAGAATGAAAGCGGTGGAGAGCATTAAAGGGGACGATACTTGTAGGCATTTTATTGGAGAAGAAAACGGTGGAGAAAGAAGAGTCGGACACGTATTATCCAACAACCACTATCTCGAAGCAGGCCACAGAAAATTAGACGCAACAAATAAAAACTGGAAAAAAAATAAATTACAACCGATCAGAAGTCAAAACTGTTTATCTGTAGTTCAAAATTAGTATATATATAAATTAGCTATATCACAAAATTGACCTAGTCTAATTTCATATATCAAAATGATTCAAATCAAATTTTACAAATAATTAGTTTTTCACAAAATCAAGTAATTATCTTAAAATATGACAATCATCATTCAATTGGATGAGAATAATCATTACCATATCATAAAAATCGAATTTTAACGGTCAAAATAGTTTATGGTAATGATCCTAATCCAAAACTGACCAAAATATGCAAGCAGACAATCCTACTCATCTAGTTCATGGCATGGACTCGACGAGTCCATCACATATGATCCAACTCGTCGAGTTCCCATATGGGACTCGACGAGTGCAGCAGTCAGTGGCCAAAAATGACATTTTTCAGCTTTGAAAATCGAACAATTGCATCAATATAACAGAAAACACCCTAGGCTCTGATACCACTGATGGGTTTTAAGCACTATAACAATCCTATGGTGCACATACAACCCTAAATGCTTTGGGTCTAAGTTTTATCAAGTTATACATGCAATTTTCATTTATCCAAAGCATAAACCCTAACTAGCATACAATTTTGAGATTTGCAACATAAAACAAGTTAGATGAATACCTCTTTGTTGTAGCTTGTAGAACTTGGCCTTTCAAGAGCTTAGTACATCAAGTGTGATACCTCTAATAAGTTACAAACACCATAAGCAAATGCAGGATTGTGATAGAGAGGCTATAAGGCACCAAAATCGTCTAGGGTTTCATCTAGCAAGTGTGTGCCGATTTTGGGAGGTTAAGGGTTATATTTATAGTGTGGAATTCCTAGGGTTTTACACTTTGAAACCCTAATTCATTACTTAAGTCTTTAAGTAATCCAATAATCCATATGATAGGCCCTTTGGACTAAATCTTCATGGACTCTCACATGGATTTAGTCCATCCCTAATCAACATGGATCATTAGCCCAAACTATAAGTATTACTGATTTACCTAATCAGTCCCCGTTAATTTAATCAGTCTCTTTTGATCACTAAATTAATTCCAAATTAATTCTTGATCAATACCAATTAAATAATATGATTTCTCAATTAATATATTATTCATATAATATATTAATAAATCACAAATAACCTCTTTCTCAATTATCCATCCTATCAAATTGCTCTGGTGAAGGCAACCCAAAAGGACCATGCTACTATCGGGTCAAGTACATACTAATTATAGTTATGGGCTTAGACACCTAATACAACAGGTGCCACCACTGAGGTCACTGCCGCCCGATTTCGATGACTGGACGAGGACCACGACCGGACTCGTGGGATCACCGACGACCTCCAGGAGGATCTCACGACCGCTCGAGCGGAGACCAGGGAGTACAGAGAGAGACACGCTGCCCTTGAGTAAAGGGTGATCGAGGTCGAGCACCGAGTGGAGGAGATGAAGGCTTTCATGGCTACATTCTGGGGGCCATAGGAGACCACACGCCGCGAGTAGGGCTTATGCTACTCACATTTTGTTATAGATTAGGTTTTATGAGTAAGCGTTGGTGCTACTCGTTCTTGTATGTAGGTTCGACCCTACGAATAAGTGATTACACTATTCAAGGGGTCATTATGCTGTCAAAAATTTTCTTTGATGTATTGTAGACCTTCATAAAGGTCAATTTTCCCAAAACCATGTACTAATATATGTTATCAATGAAATTGGCATGCATTTTATTTCATTGGGTATTGCTATTAAGTCATAAATTGTTATGCAATTGTTTACTTATTATAGTAGATTTCTATTTATGAATTGCTTACAAGTTACAATAAAGTCGGGACATAATACACATATAACTGAGACATTCCATTTCAATAATACCCGGCTTATAACCACTATTGAAGACTTATCACCATTCCATCTTTGAACTTTATGGCAAAAGGATGCCACCACGCAGAATTATCAGGCGTGTCATCAACACATCAACAGCTCCACCGCCACCGCCACCGCCACCACCTCCACAGATGGACTCTGCTGTCTTCCAAGCTGCTGTTACAGCCACTGTGGCAGCCGCCATGGCACAAATCAGTACAAATGGTACCAATGGAACTGGAAACGGTACCAATAGTTCTAACCAGGGCGAAATCCAGGGATGCCCAAGAGAATGCCCCTACAAGGACTTCTCAAATTGCAAGCCCAAGCCCTTTTATGGAAGCAAAGGCATCATTGCCCTGACGAGATGGTTCGATAAGACAGAGTCAATATTCGAGATCTGTGCATGCCCGGAAAAAAGCAATGTCAAATTCACGGCCTGCACTTTCGCTGACGGGCCCTTTTCTGGTGGAATGTCCACGTCAAATCACTAACTCTCCCAGTGGATAACTCCATGAGCTGGGAGGACTTAAAGATCATGATGTTGGAGGAATACTGCCCGAGGGGTGAAGTGCAGAATCTGGAGCAAGAGATCTGGAACCTCACAATGACAGGCTCCGACATCGCAACATATACTGCCAGGTTCAGCGATTTGGCGATACTATGTCCCGGGATGATCACCCCAGAAAGCAAAAAGGTGGAACGTTTCATCTGGGGACTATCCCCCCAGATTCAAGGGATGGTGATAGCCGCAAACCCATCCACTTTTGACAGTGCCAAACGCTTAGCACAAAGGCTTATTGATCAAGGAGTTCGTCAAGTCATAACGACCCCCATCCTCGAACAAACAAAAGGGGGTGACAACAAGAGGAAGTTCTTGAACAAGAAGAAGGGCCAACCGACGCAAGAGCCCGAAAAGAAACAACAAATTGTGGCAGTCCATGCCGCTACTGTCCCTGCCGCCCTAGCACCAGCCAAATAATATGCTGGGACTCTTCCTAAATGCAACAAGTGCAACTTCCATCACAACGGAGCCTGCCGAGAGATGAACTGCAATAATTGCAACAAGGGGCATACCGCCCGTTTCTATAAGGCGCCTGTTGAGCATCAGCGCTACCGGTTGATCTAAAACTAATTGGTGTTAGAAAGGGTGCAACCTTACCCATATAGCGCATTCAGTCATCCAGGACCAGGCATCTGAATGAGGCACTCCAGTCCATCGTGTGAGGACTTGGTCGATGCCATTTCTGACCCCCAACAATCCCCCCCCCCCTTAGAAATTGCTCTTTGAGAGAATCGAACCCTCGTCACTGGCTCTGATACCACTTGTTGAGCATCAGCGCTACCAGTTGATCTAAAACCAATTGGTGTTAGAAAGGGTGTAACCTTACCTATATAGTGCATTCAGTCATCCAGGACCACGCATCCGAATGCAGCACTCCAGGTCATCGTGCGAGGACTTGGTTGATGCCATTTCTGACCCCCAACAGCACCAACACAACAAACCACCCAAGCCACTAATGCTGGGATGAGTCAGACGTGCTACGAATGTGGTGAGACGGGGCATTTCAAGAGGAAGTGCCCAAAGACAAAGAACAAAAATGTCGGAGGAGTGGGAAGGGTATTGGAAATAGGGCATGAGAGGCAATGAAGGACCCCAACATGGTTACTGGTACGTTTCTGTAACATCCGGATTTCCAGGCATGACAATTTGAGTATTTCTTTTTGAGTTATGGGGATGGACTCGACGAGTTTACGACTAGACTCATCGAGTAGGATCGCGATTTGCTGACTGGATTAATGAAGGGACTCGACGAGTCGATGGGTGGACTCGACGAGTCCGCGCTGTGGACAGAAACCCTAAATCTTTGGGGGCCTGTGCCCTATTTAAGGGTCCTTATAGCCCTCATTTGCGGCTACCAGTCTAGAGAGAGAAACCCTAGAGAGCTTGAACGAATTGTGTGAGAGAGAAAGCCATTTCAACCCTTTTTGGTGTTGTTTTGCAAAGAAGAAGGTGTTTCCAGCTAGAGGAGGTCAAGAGGGTTGCTAATCCGTGGTTTCCAAGCTTGGATCTGCAGTGTTGAGGTAGCAAATCGATCCTTTCTCTGTTTGGTTTAAGATCCTTGAATTTTAGGGTTTTCTACACCCTTTATTGGCTTGAAATGTTGAGTATGTTGTCCCTTTGAGTGTTAGACTCTGGATCTGGACCTCTAGAGGTCCAGAGGGCCTTATCCATTCTGCTTTATGTTGGTTCATGGAGGGAATAAGACTATGTTGCCATTTTAGAAGCCATTTCACCAAGGAAAGCCTTGTATGTGTTGCATGGATGTCAAGACTGAACCTTTACATGATTATCGTGTTTGGGAAGGTCAGATCTATAAGTTAGAGAAACAGATCTGACCTCAGAAGGTCATTTGAGTGTTTCCATGGAGGGAACTCACCGAGTCCATATGGGGACTCGACGAGTCGAGTCGGGTTGCCCCGCGATTCGTGACCAGTGGTGACCCGTCGAGTGAAAGGATAATTCGACGAGTCGAGTAAGGCTTTTTGAGGATTCTGAGGACACGCATGGACTCGCCGAGACACTCGAGTGCACTCGACGAGTCTGGTCAAAGTTTGACCTTTGACTTGAGTTGACTTCAGTTGACCTTGGGGTTTTGGTCAAGCTGATTCAAGAGAGGTCAGAGAGGGGTAGAATGGTCTTCTACCCATTATTCGGGACAAGAACCTGAGAGGCTTTTGATTAGAGATGTTATCATTTTGATAGGAGGAGGCTAGGTCGGGTTATCGAGCACGAGAGGGTATCCGACATCATGCAAGGTGAGTCTTCTCACTATACTGTACCTAGAGTGGTACCTATGTGTGACCGGAAGGTCTTATATGCTATGAGATGTATGTGTTGTATGCTGTTATATGATATGGATGTGTTATGTATGTTATGAATGCTAAGGACCGGAAGGTCATTATGATATGGACAGGAAGG